CATAAAAAGATTCTACCGATTATTCAAATGTTCTTCACTCTGAGAAAAAAAATGGTTATTTCTTTAGGGAACCCAGAATGGTTATACTATGGCATTGCTGTGAAAACTCCCTTTTGGAAACTTTATAGAGTGTATATGATTAATTTTATCCTTACAGAAAGTGCAGTCGGTTCCTGGGTGAAGAGTTGACTGTAAGGGTGGTTTTGAAAGGAGCCGCTCCATTCTCTGTGCTATGGAGTTTATCTGGTTATTTGTACTTGTTGGCGCTTTGCCGCATCTCCAAAGTGGACGTAAGTGCCATCCTCTGTTGCAGCCAGGCATTTATTTTCCTCCTTTCATGGATTGGACTCAAGGACCGTTTCATGGGTGTCAGGGTGAGCAATCAAATAGGATATCTAGTGTTGTGTGAGTGATTTGATAATTGCTTGTTTTTTGGCCAATTTTGAAGTAATCTTTTTTTTCCCCACATTTGTCTGTTCTCTATTTAGATAGTGGCTGCCATCCTGTCCATTACTGGCATTGTTATGTTGGCCTATGGCGATGGTTTCCATAGCGACTCAATCACAGGAGTAGCACTAGGAGTTGGTTCAGCTTCAGCTTCTGCTTTGTTCAAGGTTAGCGCTAGTGGTGGGGATTTGAATTCATCCCAGTGTTCACTAAAAAGATTCATTCAGAATGGTACAGTGATTCATTCAGTGACCTTGTCTAGTTATACGGTTACTATAACTGTTTAACCAATTTGTTATCAACTCAGAGTCATTCACAATCAAAACAATTATTTTTGCTTAAAATTTGTGTGTCTACTAATCCACTACAAACCTCCAGAAAAGACTGTATAAAGTTAAGGTGTTCTTTAAACCTGTATGTGTGTAAACATCTGATACAAATGTAATATTCTGCAGTTTTACTGTAGTAGTTGTTTATAGTTTTATGTCTCAGGTACTTTTCAGAAAACATGCAGGAAATGTCCAGCCAGGCCCTGCCAGTGTGATGCTGTCCTGTGTGGGTCTGTGTAGCTTTATCCTCCACTCCTGGGTGTGTGTATTGCTTTATTTCACACATGTGGAATACTGGCCTCCCTCTCAGCACATCCCCTGGGATAAACTTTGTGTCATGGCTTCTCTGCTGCTTGGTAATTTATGATTTGTTTTCCACTATGCATTATGTAATAATGATTCCACTCAATGTTATTATTATTCATATTATAAATATTCCATGGAAAAAATATAATAGGTCAGAATTTTATTTGCCTTTATCTGAAGTAACTTTTATTTAATTTTTGTCCTGTTTCTCCTAAGTTTTCAATGTGCTGGTAAACCTGGGAGGAATATTTACGTACCCCAGTTTAACTTCACTGGGAATTCTCTTGACCATCCCAGCGAGTGCAGGTATGAATTTGATTATAAATAAGCTGTCAAATAGACCTGAAGCCTCACAGACAGTGGTGTAGTGGCGCATTGAGAAGTCAGTATACTCTTAATTTATGCCCCCAATTTTTTAAGCAGCCCAGCAAAGAATGAACACCATGTGTTATACACAGTGACATGTAAAACTAGTCTTGCATATTTAGTTAACCCCAAAATGGGCCAGTAGTATTTGCACAATGTCACTTAACTTCTGCTGCTTGACTTCACGGAGTAAGGATCATTATGAAATTAATATTAGCCACAGAAGAGGTGCAGATTTTGCAATAAATAATTCAAATAAAAAAATAATAATAATAAGACATCAGCAATTAACATTTTGTCAGAGCCTCTAGTAAATTACATGCTATTTTCTTTAGTGGTCTGTTCAGAATAGAGGAAGAATCATGATCTCTATTTGGAAAATAATTAAAAATGTGATTCTCAATTTATCCAGAATTGTGCAGCTCTGCTCCAGTGTGTGACTGACTGTTTCTCCCATGGCATAGTGATGAGCAAAATGGTAATTTTGAGCCCTGACACATGGGCGTGGCCATCATTTCAGAAGTGAGAGGGACAGAAATGTCAAATATAATAATACCTTTTTTTCTGGTCTAATTGACAGGTTTTATTATTATTATTATTATTATTATTATTATTATTATCATCCTATCTCTTACTTTTAATTGGCTGAGATATCAAATACACTGCTGGACATTAACCAATAATTTGTGTTCTATAATATTTTTTCTATATTTTCCTAATGTTAATTTTATGATTTGTTTATATACAAACACTTTTCTATTTTTCTATTTTATATTTCATATATTTAATAGTTTCTATAGCCAACTGTAGTAAATGCTATGTCAAATAGCACTGCATTATTTAGAAGCTTTTTTATTACCTGTAGATTCCTTGAAAAACACACATAAACTATATATTGTCGCATTCGTGTGTTTATTGTCTTCATGTTTCATCAGTCAAAACTTTTATTTTTATTCAGCTTAGCTACAGCAGAGATTGCTTTGGCTACAACAGCTGGATGCCTTTATCCATATTAGGGATTTCCTGGCACATCATAAGTTAGTACTTCTATGAGGCTGTTTTGGACTTTCTGAATATTAATGAAACACACTGCATTAGAGCATTTACACCTTGGTCCTGACCGCATCACTTCTTTACTGGGTGTTTTTAGGGAATATTTGCATTTATTCACATGCGATTGGATTAGCTACTCACGTGCTGGACTCTCATGATTTTGGCTAATGCAGGACAACTGAATGATGTGCATCAGAGGGGATTTAGAAGTGGCTATACACAATGCCGACTGCTCACAGACATGTGAAATAGAGCGCTGCAGTGATGATGTATTTTTGTAGGCCAACCAGGGTGTGAGCATCGCCCTGGTTCCCTTGACAAAAACCCAGTAGGATTTTTACTTTTGGATTATTGCAGAAAATAAGCTCTGTGACCAAAAAAAAGTTTAGGATTCTTACAAGTTTAATTCATCATGTTAAACTTCACACATGAACAAAACTTTTATGAATTTTGAAACCTGAATGATCGGCTGAAGTAAAAAGCTAAATGTACATAAAAATGATCAATTAACTACACCATGGTTGCATGACTTTAACAACCCTTTCAGTCTGTATTTTTTAAAAATTCCCTGAAAGTTTGAGTTAGAATAGTTTGCAAGAGTGCAAGTATAAAAATAAAGAGGCTGTAGAAGTTGACTTGTAGTGAGTACATGAGTTTTCCTGTTTGGTGTGATGATGTTTAATGTCCCAGGCAAACTTTGCAGTCCCTTTTAGCTACATGTGATTGTTAATTATACTCATTGATTGTGAAAGTATATAATTATGTCTTGTTTTTAATTCTATACATTTGCCTGATGAAGGTCAGTGGACCGAAATGTTGCGTTTAATAAAGTTTAAGAATTAGCAAGTATTGATGGTGAGCGGGTCCGTTACTTATTTTTGAGCCACATGTTAATAACCACCTTTTCAAAACAAATAAAGCTCTGATTGGGGAATTTAAACTCTCAAAATCTGGCAACTGCAACCATGAAAGCATGTGGAGGCTTGTTACCAATGCAAGATAACGCAAATGCCAAAATAAAATAAAACATTTTCAGGGAAAATAACCAGCAGGCAAATATCGCAGACGATTATTCTTAATAAATCTAGAGAAGCAGAAATAGGTGATCACGATTAACATACTTGTAAGAATCATGCAGCCCTGACTGAACTGAACCAACACTGAACTGACTTGAGCTATATATTGACACTATTGACTGCTTCACAGCAGAATCTAAACTGTCTCCATGGTTGACTTTCCATAATTTATTCTGCTATTTTCCTGAAATAAAGGTGACTTGACTGACTTGATCACAAGGGCTTATTACTAACGTATTTTATGTCATAGAATGAAAAAAAAATATTAAAGAAACCCACTGACTTCAAGAAGTTCTGGCCTACAAAAGCATGTAATCTCTGTAGCACTCTATAGGCCTGGATGTGTAAAAGTGATTCATCTGATGTGTAGTATTTCATTTTTGCATTTTTTGCATCTTGAGAATTTTTTCTCAATGTTAAGTCTATTGCTGTCTCTTTCTCACTCATAAGCTGTAGATACATTTGTGACTGAAACTCTGCAAATGAGCCATGTGCGAGCGGCGGCAGCCGGTATCATCTCAGCAGGGTATCTCATGCTGCAGCTTCCAGAAAACTGGGACGAGAGCACTTTGCGCTGGCTCAGCACACTGTGGCGTGGAAACTGGCGAGAGGACAGTATAGTTGGAGAGGAGGCTGTAATGGACACTGCTGGGATTGTAAGAGCAAAACCCAAACCAGCTGTAGTGACACTCAACGGAGCCTATTATGAGCAGACTTGATTTGATTCTAGTGTTGGTGTGATAACATCATACAATCTTTTGTGTGTTTGTGTAAATGCAATTACTTACATTGTAGTTCTGTTTTCATGTTGTTTGAAATGTAATATGTCTTTATTATAGAACCATCAGATTCAATGATGGTGATAAGATTATAATAAAGATTAAAAGAAAGGCAAAAATGTATTTTTAACAACGCTTTTTTTTACATTTAATGTATTTGTAACAGAAATATATTTAATATGTTAATTTAATTCATTAATTAAAAAATATGTATATTCAGCATATTATCAGTGAAACAGTGAATATGAAAAAAAAAATCCAAACTCTACGTTTCAGTATGGTCATGGCAGTGTTATTTTAGTGTAATATATTTTTACATTTGTTTTTATTTTTCTATTTTCTATTGTTATTTTAAATGTAGTTTAAAAAATAGTAGCTAATTTTGTTGTGTGATTTTCACATGTATATTAGTTTGTTTTTGTTTTTTTAAAGATGTTTATATTTCAGCTTTAGTTATTTTAGTACATAAAGTTAAACTAAATGAAAATGTTATACAATAAATGTTATATATATATATATATAATTTTATTTCAAGTACGGAATTTTTTATGGTTTTAGTTTTAGTTAATTATGTCATATTCGATCAAATTTCAAAACAAAACTGCAGGTGCTACATTCAGCTCGCTAGATGGCGCTAGTCCATTTTCACAGCACTTTATACATTTCACCGCAGAAGTTTCGAGCAGGAAGAATTATCTGTGTTGAGAGGCGGCTGAGGAGGAGGAAAGCATGGCCCTAAACGCAGGTAAAATGTGAATAGACTACTTCTGAATAATTCTGCTATTGAGTTCCCTATTTTTATCTTTCAATAATCTTCATTTACTTGACTTACTTCCGTCGTGCTAAAGTAGTGCATGTGCAGCCGCGCTAACATAACATCTTGACGCTAGCAGGTTAGCGCTTCAGCTGGCTGTATGGGTGTGCTTTTTGTCACTCATAATATCTAGATCTTCAAAATGGTTTTAGCATAACAGACTATTAGTGACAAGCTGAATTGGTATAACTGTCTGAAAGCTCCGTGTACACAGACGCTAGCTGGTTGTTTCTGATCCGTATACATCATGACCCGGACACACGAGGAATCTGTGTGCTCTGATGAATCTAGATGATGAGGACTTTGAATGGGAGCCTCCCTCCGAGGCCGAGATGAAGGTGATTCAGGCTCGACGAGAGCGACAGGACCAGATCAGCAAGCTGATGGGAGGCTATCTGCTGAAGGGGTACAAGATGCTGGGGGAGTGCTGTGAGCTGTGTGGGGTGAGGGGAAAGCACTTGCATTCATCTGTGACTTCAGAAAATGAGTGATTTATTAGTGAAAATACATGCAATAGCCTTTCAGTAAATTGTAATAATAACTAAATATACAGTTTGGTACAATATTGACAGTCTGTAGATATGCCCCATTGTTACAATTCTGAACAATAACGATAGATGGATATATATATATATATATACTCTATCATTCAAAAGGTAATAGTTGTTGTTGTTTTTTACCCCCAAGGTTCTTTTGAACTTTCTATTCATAAAAGAATCCTGAAAAAGTCACAGTTTCAACAAAAATGTTAAGCAGCACAATTGTTTTCAACACTGATTATAAGATATGAATACATTTGAGCACCATATTAGAATCATTTTTTAATGATCTTGTGACATTGAAGACTGGGCTAATGGCTGCTGAAAATTCAGCTTCATTTCAAAGTACATTTCCAAATACATATAGGCTACACACACACACACATTTATTAATCTAATTGTTAATTGATTGTCATGTGACAATCTATACTATAAATGAAATAAATTTAAGCATCATAGCATTATAATAAACAATATAAAATACAGATAAATATTAATTTTGAGATCTGCTCTGCTACAGGCTAACATTCTGTTTGAATTTTTAAAGTAACATTTATATAATTAGTGAGACTTATGTTGTAAGAATCAACATTTAAGAATCTGCCAATACAAATTAAAAAAAGAAAAGGAAACAAACAAAAAAAAGAAGCAAATCTGGGATTTAAACCTGGAAATAAACACATTTTAACTTTCAAATTTGTTTGTAATAATTAAAAAGTTACAGGTGATCTTTTCAATAAAATTGTTATGCATAAATTGTCATTTCTAAAGGGAAAAAGCAAAAAAAAAAAAAAAAAGAAGCATTTTCAGTTTTTTGGACCCCACTGGAATTACAAAGATTAGTATTTAATTCATATTATTTAAGTTAAGGAATGCAATTAATTGTCCTGGCAAAAAAAAAAAAAAAGCATTTTCAGTTTTTTGGACCCCACTGGAATTACAAAGATTAGTATTTAATTCATATTATTTAAGTTAAGGAATGCAATTAATTGTCCTGGATATTTGCAGACAATTCTGCTGCAAGATAAGCAGAAGAAAAATTACTGTGTTGCTTGTCAAGAGCTGGACTCCGATATTGACAAGGACAACCCAGGTACGTTTAAATGCAGCCTTTGACTAATTTATGAATGTACAGTCTTGTGTATCTCTGTTAACTTGTTCAATTTCTCTTTCAGCTTTAAACGCCCAGGCAGCTTTGTCACAGGTACGAGAGCGTCAGCTTGCGAATCAGCCTCTCCCTGAATCTAATGGGGCTTCATCCAGCGAACCCCCTCCCTCCATCACGGGGCAGCCCCGGCCGGAGCACTGCGAGGGGGCCGCGTCTGGACTGAGAGGTCTCCCTCCCGCCATACAGCCCACCCCTCTTTCTGTTCCCACCGTCAGCACCAACTTTCTGCCACCAGCCAACCCTCCTCTCCAGACTGCACCTCCTTCAGTGTCCTTGGGCAACACCCTCCACCACCACCCAGCCTTGTCAAGCGCAGAGGAGGCAGTGCTACACAAACTCAGATGGGCCACACAGGAGCTCCAGCACTCTGTGTCAGTGGAGGCCAGTATCCAGCTCTGCAGTCTGATCCGAGGCTGTGCCGAATCCCTGCGTAGTTTGAAAGAACTGCAGCTCTCATAAGACTGAACCACAGACAGAGCTGTAACAGGAGACACATAACGAAATACGAACAGCACACACATATATGTACACGCATATATATATATATATATATATATATAGGAACATACTCAACGGAGTGTTCCGGTTGTGTTTATGTTTGTTCTAAAGCGGCTGAGTATGTGACTGTGTTGTGTGTTGAAATACATTGCTTGAGCTGCAAAGGCTGTTTCTTTCTCCCTGATTTGTTTGCGTTCGAGTTACATTACAAGTTTGAACTTTCTTTCTGTTTCTTTATGAACTCATAATTGGTTAAACTCCCAAGTTTTATGAAAGTACCAACTTAACCGTCGTGACAATGTTAGAACAACTACAGTTGGTGAAGTTAAGTGTTTCAAAGCAGCAACAGATCCATTTCGGTGCTGTGAGTGCTGTTTTGGTAACAAATAACAGCATCATAAGTTTGATAGTTAGGGGTATTTCACTGCACTGCTTTCCTATTTTCTTCCCAGCGATCATTGCACTAATGCCTTAGTTCAACTTAAAAGTATTTCTTGACCTTGCACTTTTTTTATGACACTGCCCTATGTCTAGCATTTTTGCATTCCACTTCAGTGTGTTCCATCGTTTTTGCAGTGGAATGCAAAAACTTGTTTTTTTCCCCCACATTCCACTGCCCATGTCTCACATTTGTAAATTCAAAAACGTGTTTTTTGTGATGGGCCATAATAGGGGCCATTCACATAGAACATGTTTTTATGTTGAAAATAATTTGCATTCTACTGTGTTGCTTTGTTTTTTTATAACTTTTCAAGTTATAAACTTGCAATTGTGAGTTTACGTCTAGCAATTCTGCCATTTTTCCCCCTCTGAATTCTTTGGTTATATCTTGCAATTTTGACTTTTTTGTCAGAATCATGAGTTTGCATCTCGCAATAATTTTTTTTTTTTCTGCCACAGAATGAAAAATAAAAAAGGAATTGCTTTTTATCTCAGAATTATGACTTTTTTTCTTGCTAGTGCGAGTTAATATATAACAATTCTGAATTTTCTTCTCAGATTTTTATAACTTTTCAAGTTATAAACTTGCAATTGTGAGTTTACGTCTAGCAATTCTGCCATTTTTTCCCCTCTGAATTCTTTGGTTATATCTTGCAATTTTGACTTTTTTGTCAGAATCATGAGTTTGCATCTCGCAATAATTTTATTTTTTTCTGCCACAGAATGAAAAATAAAAAAGGAATTGCTTTTTATCTCAGAATTATGACTTTTTTTCTTGCTAGTGCGAGTTAATATATCAAAATTCTGAATTTTCTTCTCAGAATTGAGAATTTATATCTAAAAAAAAAAAAAAGTGGCGCTTGAGTTAAAATAATGTTATTGTCTTTTGACGTTGCATTTTTCAATTCCTTATCACTGTGTCATTTTTAAATGCAAAAACTCATTCTGTGACCCCTTCGATTATACATTTTTCCTCCCAAAGCAAAGTTAAGGCTCAGGTGAAGCAATTGGAAAAGTCCTTGAGACTCAAAAAAACTACATAAAAAGAAAGGAAGAAGATGATCAGCTACATTAGCTGCTTTAATAGAGGTTATGCTGCTGGAAATGAGAAACAGCGCCTCGCTGTGGCCGAACGGCGCTCTGGGCGGAGAGATGCAGTGGGCGAGGTTTCGCTGGACAAGACAAAAGAAAACGTTAAACGAAAACAAAGCGGGGCGCCTTCACCTTCTCTCCAGGGTTTCCTGTCCTGTTTTGCCTATAATCTAAGGGTAGGAATGTGTTTTTATCTCCAGAGTAAGATTTATGCGCTGCTTTACGACGAAATGCAAATAAGGGAGACCGTCAAATCTAATACCTCCTAAGAGCAAAGAGTTTATCAGAGCGAAATTATTTTCTGTTATGTTGAAAACGAGCTACAAGTTATAGTTCAGTTTCAACCAGAGGTTGTATACGCGCATAGATTGAAACTTTTCTGTTTATTTTCCGGAAATGACTTGGACGTGACAGTTGCAGTATTAGGTCATTCGTGCGCGCTCACCTTCCGTACCATCTTGTTTATAGAAAGGCAGAATTTTTCATCTCAGTTGGATATTTTTTGATGGTGTTTGAAATAAATGAACAAAATAACAACACCGGGCATAGAAGAGATCAACCCCAGGTTTTTATTTTAAAAGCGAAATCAGTGAAATCGGAAATGAACGGGTTTCAGTCCAGTCCAGCGGATTGTTCTATTGAAGGCTTGCCTCCGTTACCTAAAGGACTGAGCGGTATCCTGACAGGTACGAGAGCGTCAGCTTGCGAATCAGCCTCTCCCTGAATCTAATGGGGCTTCATCCAGCGAACCCCCTCCCTCCATCACGGGGCAGCCCCGGCCGGAGCACTGCGAGGGGGCCGCGTCTGGACTGAGAGGTCTCCCTCCCGCCATACAGCCCACCCCTCTTTCTGTTCCCACCGCCAGCCCCCACTTTCTGCCACCAGCCAACCCTCCTCTCCAGACTGCACCTCCTTCAGTGTCCTTGGGCAACACCCTCCACCAGCACCCAGCCTTGTCAAGCGCAGAGGAGGCAGTGCTACACAAACTCAGATGGGCCACACAGGAGCTCCAGCACTCTGTGTCAGTGGAGGCCAGTATCCAGCTCTGCAGTCTGATCCGAGGCTGTGCCGAATCCCTGCGTAGTTTGAAAGAACTGCAGCTCTCATAAGACTGAACCACAGACAGAGCTGTAACAGGAGACACATAACGAAATACGAACAGCACACACATATATGTACACGCATATATATATATATATATATATATATAGGAACATACTCAACGGAGTGTTCCGGTTGTGTTTATGTTTGTTCTAAAGCGGCTGAGTATGTGACTGTGTTGTGTGTTGAAATACATTGCTTGAGCTGCAAAGGCTGTTTCTTTCTCCCTGATTTGTTTGCGTTCGAGTTACATTACAAGTTTGAACTTTCTTTCTGTTTCTTTATGAACTCATAATTGGTTAAACTCCCAAGTTTTATGAAAGTACCAACTTAACCGTCGTGACAATGTTAGAACAACTACAGTTGGTGAAGTTAAGTGTTTCAAAGCAGCAACAGATCCATTTCGGTGCTGTGAGTGCTGTTTTGGTAACAAATAACAGCATCATAAGTTTGATAGTTAGGGGTATTTCACTGCACTGCTTTCCTATTTTCTTCCCAGCGATCATTGCACTAATGCCTTAGTTCAACTTAAAAGTATTTCTTGACCTTGCACTTTTTTTATGACACTGCCCTATGTCTAGCATTTTTGCATTCCACTTCAGTGTGTTCCATCGTTTTTGCAGTGGAATGCAAAAACTTGTTTTTTTCCCCCACATTCCACTGCCCATGTCTCACATTTGTAAATTCAAAAACGTGTTTTTTGTGATGGGCCATAATAGGGGCCATTCACATAGAACATGTTTTTATGTTGAAAATAATTTGCATTCTACTGTGTTGCTTTGTTTTTTTATAACTTTTCAAGTTATAAACTTGCAATTGTGAGTTTACGTCTAGCAATTCTGCCATTTTTCCCCCTCTGAATTCTTTGGTTATATCTTGCAATTTTGACTTTTTTGTCAGAATCATGAGTTTGCATCTCGCAATAATTTTATTTTTTTCTGCCACAGAATGAAAAATAAAAAAGGAATTGCTTTTTATCTCAGAATTATGACTTTTTTTCTTGCTAGTGCGAGTTAATATATAACAATTCTGAATTTTCTTCTCAGATTTGAGAATTTATATCTAAAAAAAAAAAAAAAAAAGTGGCGCTTGAGTTAAAATAATGTTATTGTCTTTTGACGTTGCATTTTTCAATTCCTTATCACTGTGTCATTTTTAAATGCAAAAACTCATTCTGTGACCCCTTCGATTATACATTTTTCCTCCCAAAGCAAAGTTAAGGCTCAGGTGAAGCAATTGGAAAAGTCCTTGAGACTCAAAAAAACTACATAAAAAGAAAGGAAGAAGATGATCAGCTACATTAGCTGCTTTAATAGAGGTTATGCTGCTGGAAATGAGAAACAGCGCCTCGCTGTGGCCGAACGGCGCTCTGGGCGGAGAGATGCAGTGGGCGAGGTTTCGCTGGACAAGACAAAAGAAAACGTTAAACGAAAACAAAGCGGGGCGCCTTCACCTTCTCTCCAGGGTTTCCTGTCCTGTTTTGCCTATAATCTAAGGGTAGGAATGTGTTTTTATCTCCAGAGTAAGATTTATGCGCTGCTTTACGACGAAATGCAAATAAGGGAGACCGTCAAATCTAATACCTCCTAAGAGCAAAGATTGTCAAAGAGTTTATCAGAGCGAAATTATTTTCTGTTATGTTGAAAACGAGTTACAAGTTATAGTTCAGTTTCAACCAGAGGTTGTATACGCGCATAGATTGAAACTTTTCTGTTTATTTTCCGGAAATGACTTGGACGTGACAGTTGCAGTATTAGGTCATTCGTGCGCGCTCACCTTCCGTACCATCTTGCTTATAGAAAGGCAGAATTTTTCATCTCAGTTGGATATTTTTTGATGGTGTTTGAAATAAATGAACAAAATAATCTGAAATTAGACTATAGCTTTGGGTTTTATCAAGTCTGTATGTATGTATAGTATATATAATGAGTATGTATATATATATATATACACACACTAATTTAATAATTACATTTAATTTTAAACTTAATGCAATAAATTAACAAAATAAAAAAAACACTAATTTACTAATTGTTTAACTCACACCCATATATAACCTTGGTTTAATCTGTGACATTTATTTCAGTTGAATAAGCAACTAGTTAAGAGACCCTAAAATAAAGTATTACCAATATTTTTGTAGAAACTGATATATTTTTTCAGTATTCTTTGATGAATAGAAAGTTCTGTATTTTTCAGAAAGTTCAGTAACATTATAAATGACTTTAATTTCGCTATTTTATCAGTTTGATGTGTCCTTGCTGAATAAAACTATTAATTTCTTTCAAATTCCAAACTTGAACAGTAGGCCTAGTGTATGTGGCTGCAGTTGAACAGTATTTCATCTTCATGTTTTTCAGTAATAAATGAGGCTCTTGTTTTTTTATGCCTTGAACTCTAAGGTGGTGTGTCACGTCATTATAAGGATGAGGCATTTCTTGATCCACCTAGTGAGTAAGCATGTATTATGAGTGAGCTCATATCGTACCCGGATACAAACTCAGCCTGTGATGTCCAGTAAAGGGAGGGATCCCAAATCTCATAGTCATGACCACAAATCACTGTTTCCCAGTTGACTTAAGACTGTTTGCAAGGTTTACATGAGCTATAGCTGATATTTGCACACCTGAAATTAGACTACAAACTGTATTCAACAAATCTCGAAACAAACCCCTGCTAGTTAGTTTTGTCAATAAACACATGCTGATCAGTTAATGTTAAGGAGCTTTTCTGAAATGCCCTATAAGGTACAAATAATATATAACATTAAAGGGTTTTTGTATTTCTAAAAATGTCATTTAATTTTATTTCAATATATTTGAATATATGTTATATACTGTTTTTATAAATACATCATTATAATGGGGTTAGCAGTAAGTGGCAACACCAGACAGGAAGAGGTTAGTGTCACACAGGAATATGACTAAGAGGGTCACCGATTTGGATTCTAGGTCAGCAGCTGAGTCAAACGTTTGCACTCCCCCCATAACCCACACAAACGGCACCACTCCGTCAATCCCTCCAGCTGCTTCTGCCCATTTATCCCTCACTGCCAGCCATCTAAAATAGATCCTGCGTAACTTAAAAAATCCCCTTGCCAGTGTCCACTAAAAATACCCATCGTGATCAAGGTCTGGACGGCCCTGCGTTGCTGCTCCATATCATTATGTTGATAAATGCACAGGGCCCAAGCACTGAAGGTGCATAATGTATTTCTTTGAAGCATTCTTCCTATTGTGCGAAAGCCCATTGAACCACATGTTAAAAGGTTATGTTCATCAGATTGTAATTTTAACCTTAATATAATTATACATTTACATATAAGATAAATATGCTCATACTTTGGGATTATTTTCTTCTAGAGTCACAATCTTACACATTTTTAGTGGCCATATTTCAAGTGCACCGAATAGATTTTTTTTAAATAGCACCACCTATTGTTCAAAAGTTATTAGAAACTATTGTAGGTAATTCCTCAATAATTCAGCTCATTGATAGCTGCTTTTTTTGCTAGCAAAATATGATTTTGACACATATTTATACAGTACATCCTTTTTTGACCTCTAGCTGACTGGATGTTACCCCTGACGCGTTATGTCAACAGTACCTTGGCTTTAGTACTGTACTGAATACAATACAATGAGGGAGGTTTTGCATACTGCTGCACCATAGGCGTGTTTGCATAACCCTTCCCACCTACTCTTGCACTTCTACATCCACTTTCATCAGTTCACTGTCAGACAGCTGCTTTTTAGAGGCATCTCGTATCGCGTGAAGCTCCACGACATGAAGCGATAAAGTCCCCCTAGATTTTTTACGCACAAATGTTGTTTTTTGCACCAAGGCAACTAATTGCAATACACAGAGATTCTCTCGCTCTGGCGTGTAACGTGATGCAGTAGTTTCCGTAAATGGTCTTTACTCGATGGCGACAGCTCGGTGATACTGAGCCGCATGAGGTGCAGCTCGTGCTCCTCAGCAGAAACATTTCACTTCACGAGCCACTTGACAGCCATCTATTTGAGTGGTTTTTACTTTTTGTTCAGTGGCGGGACTGTAAAAATCTTATTTCCATGCGTCTGACTTCATTCGCGGATACTGCATTTTCTCCAGAAGAATGACTTCAGTGTGGAAAAGATTACAAAGAGTTGGCAAAAAGGCCACTAAATTTCAGTTCGTGGCTTCGTATCAAGAACTTCTTCTGGAATGTACAAAGAAATGGTAAGTTATGATTTCTTTTCCGTTATAGCGCGTGTGCTTCCTAAATACGCAGTGCTGAAGGGCGGTTCTTCTGACTGAAACAGCACCGTGCGCGCACTCACGGGATCTTCTTTTATTTTTGTGCTGTTATTGTAAATGATTGTGAATAGAACAATGAACACAGCAGTCGATTTTAGGAACGTGTTTGAAATGTATTGGAGAACGTTGACAGTCCCACACCTCCACTTCCGCCTCCATCTCTCGTGCTGTCAACACTGAAGATATTATGAATATCCATCATGCTCACCTAAGCAGAAGAAAGTGCTGATGCTTCTTTTGAGTTTTATTTAGCTGACTCCTATAAACTGTTTATTGTGTTGCCAGCATCTATAGCCTATATTGTTTCAGTGTTTTAAACTGAGTGGTGTTGCTTTTCCTTTTCTGTTTAGGTGTTGTCATTGTTCGGTTTTATTATGAAAAGCTTTAAAGAGCATTGCTCTTGACTTCATCCTTATATGGCCAGGAACATAAAATACTTATAAACATAAATACTTATATAAACTACTTTATTACTGTTTTACAACACATTACAACTATTTTCAGTTCCATTTCAATTCCCCCCCCCCCCCCCCCCCCAAAACAGTTTGTATTTTCCTTGTAAACACAATGTTGAGGTGAGAGAATTCAATAATTGAATTATTTTTGCTATCTCTGTCCTGTTTTGATCAAGGGACAGCTGTTGACAGACAGGGAGTGTTTCTGTCCTCACATTCATCAGTGACACGTGTATTATATATCTGTCCTTATCTATGATCAAAGATAGCATGATCAGAAGGAATTCAGTCTGATTGGATTTGAGAAAATTTTTACACAGCAACACACAAAATGTGTGTCTTTAAATAAGATCCAACAAATCAAACCACTTTATCATTACTAAACCATATACACGTGTGTAAGAGTAAGTGGAAATCTTGGGTGCATCGTCCACCAACATTGCAGTTATGTAGTGACCCTAGATACCTTGTGTGCACAGTATACACACAATATACACAATAATATACATATTTCACAGTGCACAAGAGCGCTTCCATTTGAGTCAGTTTTGTGTTTTAATCTGTGATATTGACTATTAGCAATATTCTCTGAACAAGTCATGGCCTGGCCAATGAAGCAACCCTCCATTATGCAATGGCTTGTCATCTGCCTGAAGGAGAAAATGAAACACTCATTGTAATTTCTGCCTTTTACTGAGATTTATCTCCATCATACATAGCCTGAATCATTTTACTGGTGATGTAAATGATCTCTATTTGAGCGATTCTAAATTTATATATTATTTATTCTTTATTATTTAATAATAATTCATATTTAACCTTTCAACATTGTAATTGGAAAGGAAGGTTGGGTTAATAGTAAACCTGAGCAGTCGTAAATGTTGTTATCACCTAATGAGCTTTCAGCTGATGTGGAAAGTCGGATTCTTTTGCAACACTATGAGGAAATCTTTTTCACAGCTTCCCGGTTTCTTTTGCTGACCTAAACATGTGTATTGTAGTCCGACTTTTTGAAAGCAATAGAGAAGTTAGAGTGTTTCTAAAGGGGAAAGGAATGAAAGAATGTGCATTTCTATAAACGCGTGTGATCTTGTGCAGTTCAAGAGATGATTTACTGTGTAGCTGTGATTTTCAAATACTGCCAGTGGGTCAAAGTCTGTTGAAGTTATGCCACAGCTGAGGAGGGTGTGAGCTGGAGATATTAGATAGCAGTGGTTGCGCTTCTGATGGCGTAGTATAACTTGAATGTTTGTGAGCACGTGTGTGTTTATCTGACATTTAGTTCACATGTCAAAGTGACAGGAAAAAAGAAGGACTGCATTTCAGAACAAAAATGACAGAAAATTGACTTATTTTTCCAACCAGGCTGGCAGTCTATTTTTACGTTCATCTGCGCTCTACCCACAGCCCTCTCTTCTCCTCCTAATTTATCCTTTTAGACTGTTCTGCCCTGTTACTATTACTAGCTGTAACCTGAGTAAGAGCTGGGTCTTGCTTCTCTTTGTGTAGCGGTTCATGCTGCTACTTACACACCTATTAAGTTTATCTTTGCAAACATCAGTGTGAACATCACTGGAGGACTATGACATTTTCATCTGGGTCACGTTCATTAAGAATCGTTTTGGTGTGTTTAAAGTAGTGCTGGGCGGTATACCGGTTCATACCGAATACCAGTGTTTATTTTTGTTATGATATGAATTTTTTAAATACCGCAATACCGGTGTATTTCGCTTAAACAACGTTCGGAACGCGACACTGTTTGAAAGGTGTCCCTTTTCACTGTTGCACTGTGGTGAGGGAACAGCTGTATGTGTTACTAAGCGTGAAAGTTCCGAAACTGAAGCTGTAGAACTAATAGAACGTGATGACACAGAAGAACTAATCCACAATATCCACATTGACCGCCACAAATATCCACCACCCCCTGCCATCAGCTCCCGTGGCTCCCACACACACAAGCGTGACTTTAGCACTAGATTTAGCAACTTTCAGACCCTTTTAGCGTCTTTTTTCCTTTGAATATTCATACTGACAAACCTAGCGACTTTTTGGGATAAACCTTAGCTATGGTTGGAAGATTTCGCTAGTGCTGTCCTGCGAACGCGAGGTCTGACTTTCCCGGTGAAGTGTCACCTCTCTCGGCGTCTGTTCTGTACAGTGAGCGGCAGTGAAGCAGTGCATTCAGTTGGCCGCACCGCAGCCTACTCGTCAATAAATTAGTACAAAACAGCGTTTCCTAGCACCTGTCGCTTACTGATTGTTTGGAATTATAAATATGAGCGTAGTTCGTCTGTTAATATCACATGCACTTTTTTGTTTGTTGTTTTTTTTAGTTTGTTACTCAGACGCAGGCAGTGTGCTGCATGAGACAAAAAAGTAATATAGCCAAAACAACCACATAGCCGCTCTTTAGTGTAGATGCATGCTGATTTTATCAGATGATGCCGCGATTATAAATGAAACAATATTTCAAATGTTCTGAAGCTATGAAGTCTTTGTGTGATGTAACATAGATAGTTTAGTTTTTCATGCAGAAAGTCTTTGGGTTTAAAACATCATGAGAGTAAATACACCACCGTTCAAAAGTCGGTACGTTTTTTTTTTTTAAGAAATGGATACTTTGAATACATTGAACTGCTCACTGTGTGACACTAAAGACATTTATAATGTTACAAAAGATTTATTTTTCAAATAAATGCTGTTCTTTTGAACTCCTGAATTAATTATCACAGTTTCCACAAAAATATTAAGCCGTTTTCATCTGTGAATATAGTAAGAAATGTTTCCTAAGTATCAAATCAGCATATTAGAATGATTTCTGAAGGATCATGTGACACTGAAGACTAGAGAAATGGCTGCTGAAAAAAAAGCTTTGCCATCACATGAATATATTACATTTTAAAATATATTTAAACAGAAAAGCATCATCTTAAATTATAATAATTTAAGGCTGATTTCACAATATGACTGTTTTCACTTTATTAAGTAAAGTATTAAGTAAATGCACTAAAAGTTAAAGGTTTAATACTTGGTTTGATTGGGATATATAATGGGATATATTGGGAAGTACAAGCCATAGTAATAGTGATAGCAATGCAAACCTTGGCAAGCACTAAAAAGCATTTAGTTTGTCCCACAAAATTTCACCCCCAAATACCAACGAAGCAGTGCATTCAGTTGGCCGCACCGCAGCCTACTCGTCAATAAATTAGTACAAAACAGCGTTTCCTAGCACCTGTCGCTTACTGATTGTTTGGAATTATAAATATGAGCGTAGTTCGTCTGTTAATATCACATGCACTTTTTTGTTTGTTGTTTTTTTTAGTTTGTTACTCAGACGCAGGCAGTGTGCTGCATGAGACAAAAAAGTAATATAGCCAAAACAACCACATAGCCGCTCTTTAGTGTAGATGCATGCTGATTTTATCAGATGATGCCGCGATTATAAATGAAACAATATTTCAAATGTTCTGAAGCTATGAAGTCTTTGTGTGATGTAACATAGATAGTTTAGTTTTTCATGCAGAAAGTCTTTGGGTTTAAAACATCATGAGAGTAAATACACCACCGTTCAAAAGTCGGTACGTTTTTTTTTTTAAGAAATGGATACTTTGAATACATTGAACTGCTCACTGTGTGACACTAAATACATTTATAATGTTACAAAAGATTTATTTTTCAAATAAATGCTGTTCTTTTGAACTCCTGAATTAATTATCACAGTTTCCACAAAAATATTAAGCCGTTTTCATCTGTGAATATAGTAAGAAATGTTTCCTAAGCATCAAATCAGCATATTAGAATGATTTCTGAAGGATCATGTGACACTGAAGACTAGAGAAATGGCTGCTGAAAAAAATCAGCTTTGCCACCACAGGAATAAATTACATTTTAAAATATATTAAAATAGAAAACAGTTATTTTAAATTGTAATATTTCGCAGTATTACTATTTTACTGTATTTTATAATGCAGCTTTGTTGACTATAAAGAGACTTCTTTCAAAAACTTTAAAAAACCTTACCAACCCCAAACTTTTGAACGGTATCTATAATGGCAAAAATTGTTTTTTTGTTCCCTTCAGTGTTTTTGTATGCTTAATGACAGCTTTTATATCACAAAATACCACAGGAATAAATTACATTTTAAAATATATTAAAATAGAAAACAGTTATTTTAAATTGTAATATTTCGCAGTATTACTATTTTACTGTATTTTATAATGCAGCTTTGTTGACTATAAAGAGACTTCTTTCAAAAACTTTAAAAAACCTTACCAAAAATGTTTTATACCCCCAAACTTTTATATGTAATGTAAAAATTGTTTTTAGTTTCCTTCGGTGTTTGTGTAAGCTTAATGACAGCTTTTATATCACAAAATAATAAGCTGCCATTATTAAATGTGAACAGCTGTTTGTAAACACAGTGAGACTTAGTGGTTTGGAGATTGCAGGCCAACACCCCTTGTGCTGTGAGCCAAATTCGGCTTGGTCATGTGACCCTGCCGAGTTTCCTCCAATTCTTAATGCATCAAGCATGACACTGACTGAAAGCTCAGAGGTGTACAATGGGCTCACATCTGAACAATTCACTATCAAAGGGCAAGTTTATTTTTATTTTGTAAGCAAAAGCATACATGTACAGTGCAACCTTGGAAAAGGTGATTTTCATTTATTTGTTTTAAAGCTGCACATTGATTTGCATTTTTGCTGGCAATACCGGCAATCCAAAATAATGTTCTGGATATCAGATATAATAAGGCTTATAGGTCTACATGGTGCTGTGCCCTCAATAAAGAGACTTAAACAAGAGAGGAACTCTTTAACGTGCATGCAACGTTTTTGCATTTTTAAATGGTAGCATAGATAACAATGCAGGGCAGTAAAAGTAATTGATTCAACATGTTCCAGCAGACACCAAATTATGACTTGGTTATTTGGCAAGACAAAAAGTTTCATGCCTCAATCGATTATTTGTTCATGTGTACTTGTTTTTGAACAAAAAGTTTCTCAGGTTTGGATTTATCTTGTATGCAAGGCCTTGCATCATGTGCTCTTGTTTTTGTGTGGGGTTTGAAACAGTTGGCAGCATTTATTGATTCCTTTCTGCCTTGGGGTAACACTGGGAGACAAGATCACAAGATCGGATCTTGTAAGCTCCCACTCAGATCTCTTTTTTTTATTATTTTATAGGCAACCAGACAAACTGAGAGTGGTGTGGACACGGAGGAACAGGCGCATTTGCTCAAAGGTACAGAGATAAACAAGCTTTAAAGGGGTCATATGATGCGATTTCAAGTTTTCCTTTCTCTTTGGAGTGTTACAAGCTGATTGTGCATAGATAAGATCCCTGAAGTTGCAAAGACTAAAGTCTCAAAACCAAAGAGATATTCTTTATCAAAGTTAAGACTCTGCCACACCCCCCTAAAACACAACATTAGAGCTGCATATTTCCCCAAATTCCTACAAATTAAACCACATTTTATGGCATTACCAAATACAGAAAAATTAAGTCACATTTTAGGGGAAGATTACAAAATGATCCCAACAGCAGCAAGATATGTATCAGCCTGTCACAAACTAAGACTGTCAGCCAGTGGACAAACTGAAGCAAGAGCATTTCTTACATGTACTGTTGTGCAATTATTATATATATATTTTTTAAATGTCTTTAATATTTTTCTTGTTTTTTTTGTTTTTGTTTGTGTACACATGTACTTATTTACTTAATTATTTTACAGATCTTTTCTTGTTTTGTTTATGTATTAAATAATCATTTATTCATGTAATGGACAATGCTTTGGCAATACTGCGCAAGTCATGCCAATAAAGCTCATTTGAATTTGAGAGAGAGAGAGAGTGCGAGAGAGCGAGAGCGCGAGAGAGAGAGAGGGGGTCACATCACAGTGGAGTCAGCTGTCTTAACCGTGGCTTGTGTACTGCAAACACATACCAGCTTCATCACTGTGTCTGTCACGCGACTCTGTTCCCCTTTCGAGCTCTGTCTTTACATTTATTTTGAAAGATGAAGCTGCGATTATGGTAAGGGGCGTTACATTTCCGACGAGTGCTTGCGGTGTTCGGCCAATCACAATGCACTGGGTCAGCTGGCCAATCAGAGCAGACTGCGCTTGTCGGAAGGAGGGACTTTGTTGAAAACGAAGCGTTTGAGAGAGGCGGAGCATAGGGGACCTACAATAATGTACAGTATTTGAAAAATAATGTGTTTTTTGAACATTGAAGCATGTCAAAATATTCTGTTACACCAAATACACCAAATATTGATCTTTAAAAAAGCATCATATGACCCCTTTAATTGTCAATAAATATATAAATAAAATATTTTAACTAATATTAATACGTTAATTAATGTTTTTATTGACCCATATTGTTACCATTTTATGTACTGTACATCTGGATTCAGATTATTTGCGAAAGCTAGTGTAATTTAGTTTATGACTATGTCCAGGAATCCAGAATTTCAAGATGATTTTCTTCCCAAGTTTTCAGTCCGAACAGTGACATTTTAAATGATCATGTATAACAATGTGTTATTTACAAGTGCTTACAATGATTACAACTGCTGTTATAATAATGTTGATTATTATGACTGACATCATCTTTTATTTTCTCATCAGCTTCATGCATGGCAGCCAGGCATCAAAAACCCCTACAGGGGAATGGTGGTATGGCCCGTACCTGAGAACGTGGACATTACTGTCACACTCTACAGGGTAGGACACCTATCACAGCTTATTATTAGCTATAATATATATTATTATATTACATTAACTAATAATATATGCAACATACGGCTTGTTAAAGATACTGATAGATGCTGAACTATAATTTGGGTCAGTAAATTTGTTGAACTTTTTAAATATGGTTTTGTTTGACAGGACCCACATGCGGATGAGTTTGAAGACAAAGAGTGGACATTTTTCATTGAGAATGTGAGTTTATTAAAGTCTAGGTGAACTTTCTTTGGTTTATTACAATTATTTTATATTAATTTTATATATATATTTTTTTTTTATGTAAAACAATTATTTAAATTATAATAATTTTTATTGTCTACATGAATATATACTGTAGGAAATGCAAAAATGAAACAAAAAAAATGTCTTAAAAGAAAATAATAAAGATTAGTTAAAAGAAGTTAAAAGAAACTGTATTAACCTTCTCTGATGTTCTACAGGAGACAGCGAAGGGCAGTCGGAAAGTTCTGGCGTCTGTGGACTTGAACATGAAGAAGTTTGCCAGTGCCGAAACGAGGCCGCTGAACGAGTGCGACACACGGCTCGAAAGCAGCGGAGCTTTTATTATGCCACAGTCGACCGCTTCCGCTCCTTCTGGTCGTGCGTTTGTGGGTAAAAAAAGCAGTGCTGTTTTATCATACTAGATACATTTGGAAAGTTCTGTTATAATGCTGCTCTGTGAGGTCGTCACCTGTCTAATAAAACGCATAACATATTAAAGGGTCTTTGGTGTTTCCATGTTTTCGGAAATCGAGGCGTTATGACGTTATTGGCAGGCGACACAATGACACTATGGACACGCTTCGTGTCACTAGTTAAAATTGCTTATTTCTCTGGATTTAAACATTCTTCGAAACATTTGGGATAATGTAAGTACACAAGTCAGCAAAATATATAACACTGTTCTAGTGGTTTTTGGATATTTTAATAAAAAAATCTTACATATTGTGCCTTTAAATAGAGATAGAGGCTTAAAGTAGTCTCACTCTGCTAGACATAAAAATGGAAAGCATATCACAATCTGGAAAGCTCTTAAATGGCTGATTGACTTTATGTATTTTCTGGGAATTGAGACACATACAGTACACACACAGTAAGGTTTTCACATTTTCAATGAAGCCCTTTACCTGTACCTCTTGACAAATTCTTTGAATTTTTCTTCTGTAGGGATGAGGACATGCAGAGTCTCGCCAGTCTGATAAGTGTAAAGCCAACGGACATTGGGAACCTAGATGACTTTAATGAGAGTGATGAAGAAGAGGATAAAAGATCTAGTACCGGTGTTAATCTCAGTACTGCAGCTCCAGGTATTAAAAAAAACAATGAACACATGTTATTCACCAGAAAATCTAATTTATACTTTATTCTGAAAAATCCAAAACATGTAAAATGAAGAATAATTATTTTAGATTCTGCACTATTATCATGCTGATCATTTGTAATGAATACTTGAAGCGTTAAAGATTGTAAAGCATTATACAAAAGCTAAATATTGTAGATGCATTTTCAGCAGTGGTCTCAGGCTTTATGAGCTCACTGTATAGATAAAACACTTTCAAAATCATGTCATGTATTCTTTATCTTACATCTTTATTCCTCTGTCCACTTACACAGGACTTGCATTAATCATTAATGATGCATGTTTATTTTCCTTACTGTAGTAACCCTTACTTCCTCACATGCTAGAACTTCCCCTTTTCTCTTTCTTTCACTGTCAGCACCCCACCTTCCTCTTCACTCCCAAGAAAAGAGACCTGGATCTCTTAAGAGCCCTTCAGCAATAGGTAACAGCAACCTTTACATGTGTTCTTTGCATATTCCTTCCTTCATGTCACCAATTATTAAAAAAAAAAATTCTCTTGAAATTCAACTTATAAGTTCTTATGAAACCACATCCAATTAATTATTTCCATTAAATGAAATATTACTAAAATGTTTCATGAATTTTCACTGATATGGTTTTGTGGTTATGATTATCACAATCAGTCTTTGTCCTGCATCGCTTTGGCTTGCATTTTTTCATGAATTTCATTAAACCTTTTAATTATCTAAATTAAAACCTTCATTAATTATTTATTAATTAAAAGGGAGTTTTAATTAATAAATAATTACCCCTCCAAAAAATTTTATTGTCACAACCCACTGTTTAGTTTAGTTTTTTTCCTGGAACACAGAAGAAATTTTGAAACATTTTCATGCAACTTTTCTTAACAAAAGTTCATAATGGACATCGGGATGAAAAAAGTTAATTTCTGACAACAATTCAGTTACGATTCTCATTATTGAGATGCACTGTGAAATTGGGTCACAATTCAATTTAATTAGATTATTTTAGAATTATACATATTTATTTGTAGAAATATGACAAATTACATAAATGTAACTGGAAAGACAATTTGCATTACTTCAATATTGACAAAATATACATCAGGCTTTACATTCACAAAACTAAAGTTTGGCTAAGTAATTAATATACACTACCAGGTCAGTAAGATTTCTTTTTTTTCATAGAAATTAATAATTTTATTCAACAAGGAAGCATTCAGTTCTATTAATCAAAGAATCTTGAACAAATGTATCACAGTTTCCAAAATATTAAACCGTTACAGCACAGCAGTTTTCAACATTCTCCTTTAGTGTTACACATAAAAATAACAGCATAGATGTTTGGAATGACATGAGGGTGAGAAAATAATGATAGAATATTTTTTTTGGGTTAATTAATAAAATGTCTTTTATTAAGTTACATCATCATCCTTCATAATAAATTCCTGAACGTTCTCTCTCTCTTACCTCTGTCTTTCTCTTTTGCCTCATTCCTTTCCTTCAAACCTGATCTTTCACTTTCTTTTTCACTCTTTCGCTGTCCTTCTCCCTCCATTTTTCATCTTAACCTCAGTCAGTGGTAAAGAGAGGCCTACTGGTGGTGTCCTCTCACGCCCAGTGTCTGGCAGTGTTCATAACCCTGACCTGACATCACGTCCACCTTTACCCACCCCACCCAGTCCAACCCCTCGCACCATGCCCTCACCCACCCGCTCCAGACCACCATGTCCACCACCCATTGCCCAGCCACAGTCCCCACCTGACTCCCACACAGAGCAAAATACTTCTGGTTTGCTCCTTCCAGCATTGCCCAAAATCTTCCAGCTGTCTCCTGGCTCAGGTACCACAGCTAGAAGTCATCAAGTCTTTTGTAGTACCATTGGTAGCTAGTTGGCATTCCTACTTGACTACAATTATTTTTATGAACAGTTATGCTGCTTCTATGGCTACAGTGTGCACAGCCTTTAGTTAGGGGTTTAAGTTCCTCTTTTGTGATAAAACCATTCAAATGTTTACGGTCAGTGAGTTTTTTTTTTTGTTGAAAGAAATTAATCCTTTTATTCAGCAAGGATGCATTCAGCTGATCAAAGTGATAGTAAAGACATTTATAATGTTGCAAAATATTTCTATTCAAATAAATTTGCCCAAAATCTTCCAGCTGTCTCCTGGCTCAGGTACCACAGCTAGAAGTCATCAAGTCTTTTGTAGTACCATTGGTAGCTAGTTGGCATTCCTACTTGACTACAATTATTTTTATGAACAGTTATGCTGCTTCTATGGCTACAGTGTGCACAGCCTTTAGTTAGGGGTTTAAGTTCCTCTTTTGTGATAAAACCATTCAAATGTTTACGGTCAGTGAGTTTTTTTTTTGTTGAAAGAAATTAATCCTTTTATTCAGCAAGGATGCATTCAGCTGATCAAAGTGATAGTAAAGACATTTATAATGTTGCAAAATATTTCTATTCAAATAAATGCAAATAATGTATTTACCGGTGCTAGTCTGATTTTATCTGTATTTTTATCTCGCCACCCATAAAATTCCTTCCTGAATGACCTACTGTTTTTTGACAAACACCAGGGTCATGTGGTATAACTTCATTCCCTTTTGAGTCATCACCTCTGAGTTTACATGGAGTAATTAACCTAAATGTTGTTTTGAAATTCTCTTTGATTGAGTATGTGGCATTAAAGAAATTGTTTCAGAAAACTGAGAACTGAAAATCACTATGGCCATATACACTTTGCAAAGTTTTAAGAGTTACAACCACATTTAAACCGAACAAAGAACAGCGGCAGTCATATTTAGCTGCAGTGTGAATTCATTGTCATCATGGATGTGTTTTATCAAAGAAGGCCCATGCAAATATTGTTTTACAAGCGTCACCCAGAGAAACAGTTACCATTCTAAAGGTGCTTATGCATCTGTGTTTTTCTCAACAAAGCCTGGACGTCTAGTATAGTTTCTGTTTGTTTTTCCCTCTGTGATTGTGTCCAGCTCCTGTATCCTTTCAAAGAAGACTGTCGGGCTCTGAGGCCCCTCTGGAGGGCCCCGTGACCTCCGACTATCCTCTGCTCAAACTCCCTCAGGCTTCTCCTTCTGATCCCTTCCTCTCTCACTCTCCTTCTCCTCCCACTATGCTCCTGAAAGGTACAGACTCATGATTCCTAAACATTTACAAATTACATGCAATTCAACCTCAAAGTATGTTTACTGTAATTCTAATGGTATATGTTAGCCTGATTTGACTCTTTAAGACTACTTTTGGAGAAGTCAGATTCATTTCCTCTTAACCACTGCCTCTCTTGTTCTCACTTTTCCCGCATCTCTGACTAATCTTCTTCTTTCACGTGGTCTGTGTCCTTTTTGTGTCATCGCACTTCTGTCTCAGATTCTTTCGGAGCCACTCGCACCAATGTTTTTAAGCCCAAGATTGTCCCCGGTGCTCGCCCTGTATCCCCCACTCCTGTCCCTCTCCTCGAGGCCAAAACTTCTTCCCTCTCTCTCTCTGACACATTTAAGCATCCATCTGCTGGCACTGCGCCAGGTATTGAGAAATCCTCCAGACTGCACATAAACAGAAGCAGCAATACTATAAGTGCAGTTAACAAATGCACTTAAGATATTAATTAAACAAAATTTGTTCAAATTTAAATTACATTTTAAATGTAATATTACTAAAATAAATTTAATATATTTAATCCCACTTTCTAAAGACTGATCAGAAATCATAAAAATTCCAATTAATTTATCAACAGCATTATTTTTTAACAATAAGAAAAAAAAATCTGCATATGTTTTTAAAAAAAAAAAGAAAGAAAAGAATTTTAAATAACATTTAAACAATTTGCTTTAGTGCAATAACAATATAAAAGACAATTATTTTAAAATTATCTTTTAAAAATTTTGTCTGGTTAATATCATGTAATATCATATATTAATATTTTCCTCAAATAGCAATCTCAAATACAGCTGCCTTTATATTTTAAGAAGGGTCCCTCGCAAGGGGATCATCATATTCGGTTGTCTTTGAAAATGTTGGAAAGCCCCTGCTCTGATGTTTTTATCAATATTTGCTTCAAAATGTAAAAACGTCACTATATATCTACAGTATATGAGACTCTTTACTTTATCAAGTAATGCCTGTTACTTTATCTCAAATTCTAAAACTTCCTTTATTTATATATTTATATATATATATACTGTGTATATACAGTATATATATATATATATATATATATATATATATATATATATATATATATAGATATATATATAGATAGATAGATAGATAGATATTTTTTTTCCCATCTTTTCAACCACTGATCAACCACTGATGCCCACACAACTGCCCCCTGCTGTTCATCTTCTTCTGCTCGCTCAGGTACTAAACTGCCTATTGCTTGCTTTAAAAGACACATTAATTAGAACTAGTGTAATTGCTGATAGGTCTAACAGTTATGATGTACTAGGAGACTTATTTTGCCATTAAATCACGTCGGTGTTTAATAGGTTTTGTCATAACTAATTGCGACCACCACAAGCAACTAGATATATTTTGTTGTTTGCTTTAATTTATGTTGGTCATGTCATGCTGGATAGTCCCACTCACAGGGAACTCTCATTGGTCCAAAATCTCACTCCAGATACTGCATAAATTTTATTTGCATAAAACTCTATGATGACCTCGGTCACTCATGTAATTTCAAATCAGCAGTTGTCTTTGAAAATGAATTTAATAATCAAAACCAAATAAAAGTCATTATACGTTAATAAAATAATTTAACATTTAAAATTAAAATGTCCACTGTTTTCCAGAGATACCCAGGGAGCTCAACACACTTACAGAGGAGGATCAAACAAACCCGTTTCTACAAGGTGAATAAGTATTCTTCACTTGTGTCATTAATGATGTAAATGACCTGAAAAGGATTGAAAATAAAATAGATTAAGACTTATTAGCTTTTACTTATTTTAATAATTGTTCTGATTCAATTTGCCGTTATGTTCAACAGATTTACTTGCTGAAGAACCGAAGAACTCGGAGCCCAAAACAGACCAGTATCGCTCATCTCGGACTATATGCAGCACTAGCATTGCTAATAAACAATCTCCTTCCTCCCTCCGTCAACCTGAAACCATCAGCACTGAAAGAAAAGAGCTCAAACCTGCCACGGCTGTAAAAAGGTGAACACTTAAACATAATTTTTTGTTCTGGCATCAAGTATAATTCACAAACATCAATCTTAACTATATACGTAATTAAATAAAAAAATGGATTATCACCTTTGCAGACGCAGTCTGATTTGCAGAGTTGTATTCAGAATTTAGTGCTTTGTGTGTTTCTGTGTGAAAGTGTGTTAGGCTTCAGATGGACACAAATCCAAATAACCCTTTTAATGAGAAAAATAGTTCCTTAATAACAATAGGGAAATGCATGACCTTGTGATAAGTCTATTTTAAACAGACCATGACATTTGCCTACATCAGCTCTCAGTTTACACTGCAAAGGTTTAAACTCTCTGTTGCTTTCCCTCACTACTCCAATCCTGCGTCTGTCTCGTTTGTCCTGTTTTCTCGCCACTAACATCGCTGTGGCACAAACAAAGTGCTTTCTCTAAGGAAAAGTTGCATCTAATCTTACCAAACACCACCATGCTTTGGCCTCTTACCCCATTTTTGGCCAACTTTGACTCCAAGTATCTTTGTCCCCCAGTCTTGGGCCTGTTGGCAAGTCATCATTGGACACATCTGGAGTACAGCCTGTGGAAGCTTCTAGATCTGAGGAACTGGACACTGGAACTATCCCTCCTCCACACCCATTCTCAGCTCCAGCAACAACACCTCCATCATCAGTGGTTTCCACACACATGGAGAAAAATCTAGTTTTTATAGCAGAGAAACCACCATTGGCTGAGGAAGAACCAGATTTTAAAGTGGCCGATTTCGATAAAATGATGAAACCCATTAAAGATGTTACTGTTGGCAAATGCCCTGAGAAAGAACCACTCAAAATTGACATTGAACAACCAGTGCAATCCAGTCTGGTTCAAACCTTTTCAATAACCGATGGTGTCAAAATAAAGCAACCAAAAATCACAAACATTGAATCAGCAGGGGAAGTTTCTTCAAAAGGGGAACCGAATGTGCAGAATGCAAAGGGTGCTCTGCTTTGTGGTGACCTCAACAAGTCAGACGAGGACAAGATAATAAAGAAATTTGCCTCAGCTGGTGTTATCCCTACAGAACACAATATCCCCAACATTTTATCCAGCTCATCGCCTCTAAAGAAAAAACCTACAGATCTTCCCAGGGAAAAAAGTCAAGTGTGGGTGGAAGAAGTCCTTGAATCTAAGTCCAACCGTAGTTTGAGAGAGAAGCAGTCCCATAAGGATAATCTGGACAAGAGTTTAACTATTGAGCAAAGGTGAGTGTGGTACTATTACTCTCCCAAACTGTGGCAAACTGGAACTTTCCTCTTCTGAGTCACTTCCTGTTTCAATAAACTCATATCTGTCTTCTAATGATGTTCATTTGAATACTTAGGCACATAAAACTCTCTTTGGCATCATGAATAGTTTTAGATAACACATTTTTAGAGATAACACAATTTAAACATACCAGCTGACCTCAGTATGAATAGATGAATAGAGGTTATATCTTCTTCCCCAACCACAAAATTACACTTATGTAGAATTACATCATTGACATCATTCTCCAGAAAAAATATAGATGAACTTCCTAAAGTTTTTACTAAATACTAATTTATCTATATTCCTCTATCTGTAACAATCTTTTTCCTGTCTCATTCTTTTCTTCCCTGTTATTCTCTCAGTCAAAATGAAATGGCCTTAACTCCAGCTGAAAGGCTTAGTGTTAGCCTCAAAGCGGCTTCCCCTCAAATATCAGATCTGCCCAAAGAGCTTCCTTTCATTCATCCCCAATCCCTGGAGCCCAAAGTCCTTAAATGCATCTCAGAACAAACTCCAGCAGTCAGTCGACCACCAAAACCAGAGCTGATTGTGAAGAAGTCAGACAACACAGTGTTAACGCAGAAGAGTGTGGAGGTCCATTCACTTGCCCAAGCAGAAGTGCCAATCTGGAGTTCTCTGAAAGAGAATGTAAAAGATCAGGAGTATGAAGCAAGGGATGAGGAAATAAATAAGCACAAAATACCTGACAAGATGCCAAAAGAAGAAAATAAAGCTGAAATGTCCTCAAAAAAATCTTTAGAAGCAGGGTAAGAACCAGTTGGTCTCAAATGTTTAGCCATGGCCGAGTGCTTGCATGCTTGAGTTGTGTTACACATCTCATACATTTAAGTTTGTTAAAATGGTCTTTTGGGGGTCTTGTACACTGTCATGTGTCAATAAGAGAGTGAGTTTCAACAAGTCATACTTGATTTGAATATAAACTTATTTATAATTTTGAAACTCATATTTATACCAGTGTTATAGCAGGCAAATATACAGTATGTGGATAAAGATTCATTAACGCATGTTTGATCAAAACAAGGTAAGTAAATTGTGACAAACCTTATTCCTTACCTCACAGCGAAGAAAAAGCCGTTATCCAAGTCGAGAATGCTGAGAATCTCAGTATAAATGAACCAGATTCCCAACAGCCGATACCCTCCATTGTCCTTAAACCACATCCAGCTCAGACTATTAAGGAGAAGAGAAAAGAAGCTGTTAAAGTCAGTATACCGGTCCGTATGAAGCCTCTACTTCCTGTGATCTCCCCTGCTGTTGCTGTAAAGGACAAAAGAACTTCAGTGCATCTGGAGAACATTTGCCCTCTGATGCCCAACCTGTCTCTGGATACAGAGTCTGATGGAAATGGTTTAAAGAAAAAGGTCACATTTGAGGAAGAGAGTGTGTTATGGGTAGAGGAGAAAACAAAAGAAAAAAGTGATGAAGTTGTTAGCATGTGCAAGTTGATTCCAGAAAAAGAGGTCCTGGACAGGGGGTAAGTACATGAGGTTTGTTAACTTCACTGCATGGTGTTTTGTGTGGACTTCAGACTATCTGGACTTGCATGGTTTTGACCAGTTTGTCCATGTTTCATTCTGCCTGAGTTTCTAATGTATCTCTATTAGAACTTAAAGTAAACATCTGTTTACATGCTGGGAGTTGAGATGCTAGCGAGAGAACATTGATCTTCAAAGAATATTCTTGTCACTTACACTTTTTGGTCCATGGCAGCCAATGTGGACAAGAAATGTCAGAAACCAAGCTGAAGGCGCAAGAGGATTCCTTTGCCTTGTCCCATTCACACCACAAACTAGATAAAAATGCTAACAGAGAAAGCCAGAGGGAAGATAATAAAGAGAAGACCACTAAAGAGGAAGATTCAGATGATAAAATGCCGCAAACTGGCAGTGAGACTATTTGGGCAACTCAAGCTGGACCTAAAGAAGATGTGAAGACTGTTAGTGTCTGTTCAGGAACCGAACTTGGCCTTGAGCTTGATGTAGGAACAGACAGAAACGTGGACACCTGCATACAGGAACATGACTCAGTTTCTGACCAGGAAGAAGTATCTGTAGGCTTCATACGGGGGATGTTCTGTGTTCTGTATAAAGGGTAAGTGTGGGACAATTCTGAGACGTGCACTGAGCTTCTCTTGTCACGGCATCTGCATGGCTATAATTTTGTTTGCCTGAAACACTGAAAGGTTGTTATTAGGTGTGACTGCATTTGCAAGGAAGCTTTTGCATCCACACGTATGGTGTCCTGTAGTGACGAGAAGCTTAGCTTAAGGAAGAGCTTGCCTGTTTGATACTGGCTGGTGATTCAAAAAGAGCTCTTTTGTGAATGGAAAGAATTTGTTTTGTCATGGTGTAATGTAATCATATTTAAATGTCCTCATCCTTTAGTTATGAGACCATGACATCAATACTACAGCAGCCAAGCACATCAGAAACCGATGTTAAAGATGACACGATTTTGGATGATCAAGATGGATCTGTGGTCAAAATTCTCCCTCCCGAGGCCTTCTCTGGCACCAAAATGGAGCATCCATATGACGATGAGCCCCAGGAATCAATAATCCAGGATGTGTTACCTTCTGGCGAGTTACAGAGAGATATTCAGACCTCCGAGCCTGTGACCATGAGCTTGGTGGAGTGTTTGAAACTGGCTGCCAGAGAAACTCAAAGCGGATCTATGAACTTCAAGACCCAGGATAAAGGAAGCCCATCTAAACAAAAGACAGCAATTGAGCAAACCCAAATACTGACACCAATAGGAAATGACAAATACATGAAGGTGGAATTGAAGTCTGAGAGTGTGATATCAAATGAAGAGAAGAATGAAGAGCCATGCTTACTTCTGGAGGAAGAAGAAGACATAACTGCTAAGAAAGATGTGCAAAACCTCAGCTATGTGGAAACAGATCATCTGGTGACTGAGGTAGACTTTAAGAAAAAAAAAATACACGAAAGCCCAAAAAGAAATGGGCATGAAAAACTTCTGCCTGGCAAGATAACAGCAGCAGATTTAAGGCCAGTGGCGGAGTCGGAGGGTTCACAGGAGGAGCTGGAGTTTGAACTAGGTCAGGAAGACTTAGGAACAGTGTGGTCTGCTGAGCTATATATGGATGGAGGGTAAGTGCATGGGACATCACCTCTGCCTGCACTGCCTCTCATTTTTATGACCCTCTTTACACGAACGGCACAATTTTAGCAATGTTCCGTCTGGCTGACATTCAAGCATTCTAGTCGTTTCATTAAGTTTTTCATGTGTGTCTGTGACAAGGGCTGGTGGAGTCTGCATTTGACATCAAGCAATGCATTTAATGTGTCCTGTGTCCTATGGCCAACAAGTCTTCTAAGAGATGGGTTGGGATACACTATCATACAAAAGTTTGGGGTCAAGTAAGACTATTTTTTAAAGTAATTAGTACTTTTATTCAGTAAGGATGCATTAAATTGATCAAAAGAAAGGGTCAAGGTAGTTATGATGTTACAAATGACTTCTATGTCACACAAATACTGTTCTATTTCTGTTCATCAAAAATCCCGAAAATATTAAGCAGCACAACTGTTTTCAACATTGATAACAATAAGAAATGTTTAATTCAGCTTTGCAATCACACTAATAAATTGCAATTATTTTAAATTATAATAATTGTAATAAGTTTTGATCAAATAAATGCAGCCTTGGAGACTTCTTTTTTTTTTTTTTAATTGAAAAATCTTACCAAACCCATATATTTGCGATTTAGTGTATATATTATGAGCATGAAACATTGTGTTGGTTCCTGTTGTATTGAAACTGGGCTCTCTGTGGTTTTTCCAAAAGGACTAAACAGCAACTTGTTTGTCGCTGCTTGTTTGTCACTGCTGCTGCAAGCTTGCAAAAGTTGTTAGCAGAAAACATTACACGGTGACTGTGGGCTAACGCTGCTGTTTGTAGCCCCCTTCTGGAACTGATTGTGCCATTTTCACTTAATTGCATCTTTACTGAAAAACCTTTTGCACGCTATAATAACCAAATTGGTAAGGTGCAACATTTTGATCTCATGTTCTGGTGTTCCATTTCTCACAGACCAGAGGAATCCCCAATACCACCAATAGTTTTCACAGCCATACAAACACTGGAATCGCCTCTGACTGCCTTTCCACCAGAATCTGGGCCTATATTAAAAGGCACTACACCAACGGAAACTATTTCCCAACCCGCTAGCAAAGTTGTTTCTGTGTGTCAAGACGAGAGTATGCAGTCACCACCCCCAGTGCTTTTACAGGAAGTTGGCCCTGATGCCATCGATCAAAATAGTAGCTCTGCAGCTGCTAAAAGGCATGTGGTTCCACAATGCAATGAACAAGGAACCAATCCTTCAGATGTAACTATAGAGACAGCAGCTGTAAAGACTGTTGAGATATGCAAAGATGTTGCAAAAGAGACAAGTGAGAATAACTTGTCACCACTAGAGGGAGACAATACCAAAAACATGTCTATTAACAACACTTCAAAAGTTGAGATGGAAAAAGAGAGCAGCCCAGTCATCACCAAGGCATCAGAAATTATTATTGTAGCAGCCACAGAAAGACCGAAAGACATAAACGTTGATGAGAATGTTGTTTCCGGGAAGGACATTTCTCCAAGGAGCTCAGTGGTCCCATGGCCATTTCCTTCTCCTAAACTCGAAAGACACCGTGAGCCCTCAAAATGTACAGAAAGTTCCAGTCTAAATGATGACGACCTCTCGGAGGAGAGCGTTCTGTTAGCAAAGATTCGTCAAATGGCAGAAGAAGAGACGGCACAGCCGTCAGCTTCTGCTCCATGCACTAAGAAACGTTTGATCCCCTGCAAGTCTGATTTTGAACTTCCTCCAACTCCTCCCATGCAACTAAAGTCCAGCATGAAACTGCCCGTGGATGAAATACGACCAAATTTAGATGGGACGGAGATTACAAAAACACTCAGACCTCCACCGTCAGTGATTTCCCCAGAGCAGATAGATGAGAAGATTGACATCAGGCAGTCTCAGACTCCCTCTGTGCCACTGGAGAGCTTTAAATTAGATGATAGCCACAGAAAAGCCAATGCTAGAAATGCTGTTTTAGATGATAATGTCCAGTTAAACAAGCAAGAACAAAACATCCAGCTGGAATGTATGGCAGCTGAAAGGGAGTGCCAAGATACACCAGCTGTTAAGCCCACAAACCAGACAGAGAACACAGAAACAGAAGCTGAAACGAAGAAGAAGGAAGAACCAGAATTAAGTATTGATAGAAGTGAAGAGGTTCAAATAGAGCAGAATAAGCCACCATCTCCAGTGCCTGATGAATTGTAAGTTTGAGTGGCTTGTAAAGACTCAAATTAAATTGTATTTTGCAATATTATATTGTTTGAACGACATCTACAGCTCTAAAGGCTGATGCCTAAAAATTTACACCTCTGTGCACAATTTACACTACCGTTCAAAGGTTTGGGGTTGGTAAGATTCTTTAATGTTTTTGAAAGAAGTCAAACCAAAGTTGAATTAATTCGATCAATGAATCAAATCAAATGCTGTATAAACAGTAATATAGTGAAATACTATTACAATTTAAAATAAATGTTTTCTATTTTAATCTATTTTAATAAGTAATTTATTCATGTGAAGGCAAAGCTGAATTATTAGCAGCCATTACTCCAGTCTTTTTAATATGCTGATTTGGTGCTCAATAAACATTTCTTATTGTCAGTGCTGAAAACAGATATGCTGCTTAATATTTTTGTGGAAACCGGGATATGTTTTTTCCAGGATTCATTGCTAAACAGAAAGTTCCAAAGAACAGCATTTATTTAAAAAATTATGTGTAAGATTGTGAATGTATTTACTGTCAATTTTGATCAATCTAATGCATCTTAATGGTAATTAAAAGTATTCATTTCTTTAAAAATATCTTACAACTTCTGAACAGTAGTGTAATAACACTGTGTATATTAATATTTGCATGTTTTTTCATTAACCTCAAATCAACACCCAAAATGTTCTAAGCATTGCAGAAAGGGAAACCCTAGCAGAACAAATTCATTTTCACTTTAACACTGAATTTGAAATTTAATTTCAAAATAATGTGAAACAAAAACAATGACGAGGAAGTGTGTATTTATAATAACATGGCAAAATTTGTAAGTCATGTCGGTATGTCTAAAACATTTCCTGTCCTTTTGATAGGTCTAGTCATCCTCAGGAAAAGGAGTCCTCTGCTGTGTCCCCAGAGGCTAAAGGGAGCGAGATGCCATCTAGGAGCCCAGGCAGCATGCAGGTTAACGGCCAGACCACTGCAGACGCATCCCATGTGATTGTGCCTCCAGTGCGCATTAAAAAGAAAATAATTCCACCACCAATGGACCTTGCAATAGTAAAAACAATTGATGAATCAATTAAGGAGGGTTCCGCAGTACCTGCATGGGATGTAAGTGGCATTTGTTGTTTATGTAAAGTACCTGTTAAAATGTAGACTGTTTATCGCTTTGTCTAAACGCTGTCTAACTCTGTTTTTTTGTCTTTCCATTTGTTACTATACAGTTTGCCAGTCCACTGCCCAGTCCTGGTTTGGTGACCTCCAGTCAGTCCTTGCTGGAGTGGTGTCAAGAGATCGCTAGAAACTACAAGGGAGTAAAAATCACAAACTTCAGCACCTCTTGGCGTAACGGCCTGGCGTTCTGTGCCATCTTACATCACTTCCACCCTGCGATAATGTGAGTTTCTGATTTATGTCATTCATTCCTAGCTCAAAGCAAACTCATTCTTTCTTAGTATGAATCAATTTATGTGCACCAACATAAAAAAATTATTATTTGCTTCAAGTACAAATGAATTAGCGATAAACAATGTATCTGTATCATATAGTTTAATGACAAATAATGAAGTTTATAGAAATTTGTTGATATTAGATATTTAATTGTGCATGTTCATTTGCTTTTTTTGTTTAATTTACCTTTGCCATCACTCACCTAAAATATTTTTTTTTGGGGGGGGGGGGGACTATTGTAATTATACTGTTAAATATAATCTTTAGCAAAAAAAATTTTTTCAAATAATTGATTCCAGTATTTTGGAATTTAAAATTTTGAATTTCAATATTGGACATTTATAGCTTATTGTTCATAATATGACAATAATTAATTAATTATAATGAATTGTAAAAAAAAATACTTTTTAATTACTTTTTATATTTGTTATTGTGTATTGACTTAGTTGTTGTTTTCCAGTGATTTTGATGCATTGGAGCCTCACAACATAAAGCATAACAACAAAGCTGTAAGTTTGGTTTAAGCAGATGTTCCACATAAAGACATTCTTTAACCATAAACTAAACCTCATCATTTGTGCGACCCATTTTTTTGCTTCTCTTTTAGGCTTTTGATGGTTTCGCATCACTGGGAATATCTCGTCTGCTGGAGCCCTCAGACATGGTGCTTCTCTCTGTGCCAGATCGTTTGATTGTCATGACGTACTTGTGCCAAATACGTGCACACTTCACTGGGCAGGAGCTGAGTGTGTTACAGATAGAGCAGAACAACAGTCAGTCCAGCTATGCAGTAGCCAGTCCAAACCAAGGGTCGGATGTACAAGCAGCAGCCAAATTCTGTGCAGAGAGACTCCAGGCTGGAACTCTGTCAGGAGAGAGTAATATCAAGGACTCACTGGGAGAGGAGGGAAGTGACACTGTGGCTAAGCCAAACGGAGGTCTTGTTCCTCCACCTCGGACTAAACGTGCAGGAAAGGTGGAAGAGAAGGGCAGTAAGGAGACAGAGGGAGGCGCGCAGACTCCTGTGGCCCCACCACGACCAAACTCAGCGGCTTCCAGATCAGGATTCGGGCACATACGAGATGCAGATCTGGTGAAGAAACGGCGGTCACGACTAAAGAGCGAATCCATGGATGAGACTGATTCAAAGGAGCAGCCAAAAGAGGTAAAATACATAAAATTTACCCTTTCCTTGCAGTTATGTTTTAATATTTGATCTAATAGTCTTTTCTCTACTAACCTCCGACAGTCAGATAAAGGTGAACTGACAGCTGAAGGAACTAATGGCTCAACAGCTGCTAGAGAAAGTGCTGAAACTGGTAACCTTGCTAAACAGCTTCCTAATATCTAAAAAATGATTGAATTTAGAAAGATTTGGTATTTTTTGCCATTTAATGTGTGTTTGCAGAACCTCAGGAAGCAAACCAAGATGTTAAATCAGCAGAGAGTGAGACAATGGTCAGTATGCCCTCAGTATTTGAGACAATTAAAGTGTTTCATTTTTTATCAAGTGTAATTTTTTGATAACTTCAAAGCCTGTGGTTTTAAAAGAAAATTTGTCAATTTGCATGTCAAGTATTTAGAAAATATATTTCTGAATTTACAGTAATCGCCATAATTCTCTAATTCTGGGGCCAGATTCACAAAACATTCTTAAGAATAAAACTGCTATTTTTCCTTGTTTTCTAACTTAAGAATAAGGTTATGAATATTTCATAGAAATGGTTCTTACCTTTTTTCTTTAGATTGTTCTAAAGATAAAACATATTAAATTGATTTCCTGAAAAGAATGTTCTGAAAATTCATTGTAAATTACTTTCTAAAGTTAGCATAACCTCAAGCTTGTCTTAAATCCCCAAAGATAAGATGTTTAAATGTACTTATTGGGTCATTTTAAATATTAAACAGTACAACATTATTATGAATATTATGATCACAGTACTCTGCAAGCAGTGTAAAAAGACAGACAGGTGTTTGTCATGAAGCCATTAAGCTGATCAATGAATCTTTGCCTAGACCCGGCATACAGTCAGATAGCACCAAAGCCATTTTCCTCTTAAGAAAAAAAAGAAAATAGAGGGGAAAAGGGTAAGAAAATATCTGAGAAGAATTTTTCAAGAATTTCAGAAACATTCTTACAAACTACTTCATTCTTAAGAAGAATTTCGAGAATCCAGCCCTTGACTCACAAGCTCTTACCATCCCATGTTTAATTTCCTTGTTTTATAAAGCTTTTAGTTAAATCAAGCCTGTCTTTTCCTCTCCATTATCTTTGTGCATCATTGTCTGTTTGTGTCTTTTATCAATGTTGGTCTTTTATTCTCTGTATCTGGCTCTATCCATCTCTCTTTCTCTCAATCTCCATTCCTTTCCTCTGTCTTTTCCTCTCTCTGTCTGTATTTCTCTCGTCTGGTTTTATATATGTGTCCCTGTGGTACTTCCTGGCCAGTGCCTGCAGGACACCAATCAATATGTGTTGAGTGAACTTCAGGCCCTGGAAACCGAACAGAAGCACATAGACAGCAGAGCTGCAGTCATGGAGAAAAGACTACGAAAGGTCATGGAGATGGGTAAGAAAAACACTCATATAGAGGGAAGGAGAGAATGAAGTTGATTTCAAGTTAACTCTTGAAATGCAGCATGATATACCACATTATCTGCTTAACAGGAAGTGATAAAGATGAAGAAGAGAAGCTGATTCAGGAATGGTTCACTCTGGTCAACAAGAAGAATGCTCTGATCAGGAGACAGGACCATCTGGAGCTGCTGTATGTACTGATATGTAAGACACAATCAGTGCACACTGTCAGCCACATTAATAAATATTCATGATGTTACACTTGCAGGCAAGAAGAGCAGGATTTAGAAAGAAGATTTGAGCTGTTAACCCGAGAGCTCCGAGCCATGATGGCTATTGAAGGTAAGCCATTTAACTTTAAACTAAGAGTTACTGAAAAAAAAACAGATATTCATTTTGAGATGTGCTAGATAACAGTTATTAAAGTAGTGTTTTTAAAGCTTAACTTGAGTGGCAAAAGTAATATAAATGTAAAAATAATGAACATATTCCATTATTCAGTTATCTAATATCAGCCTATATGCTACCGATATATTGTGCATCTGTAATCTACACATTCCATATTTTCATTTGTCATGTTAATTCCTCAGATTGAATTAACTGGGAAAAAAACTGAAAAAGGTTGAAGGTTCCAATTAATACCAATGTTAATTTTGAATTCTGCCATTATTTATTTATTTATTATTTATTTTACACTATATTTATTAAACATTAAAAAACACACAGCCACAAAATAGAAGAAAGAACATCAACTTGGCTCATATATTAGTCTATTAATGCTTTAAACTTTTACCGACATATTTCCTCTGTGGCTGCAGCTGTAATAGTCAGTATTTCATCACTGTACCATCATATCAATAATATCCATATTTCATCCATCAGACTGGCAGAAAACTCAGGCCCAGCAGCACAGAGAACAGCTACTGCTACAGGAACTGGTGTCACTGGTCAACAAGCGGGACGAGCTAGTCAGAGACATGGATGCAAAAGAGAGAGGGTGAGTCTAGTCACAGTGTTTTGTTGCACTGGAATGGTGAATTGTAGAAATTAGACTCTACATACACATGCACTGAATGTATTTTGAATGTGCAGGGCTTTGGAGGAGGATGAGAGATTGGAAAGAGGTCTGGAGGCAAGACGTAGAAAATACAGCAATAAGGAAAAGTGTGTTCTTCAGTGAAGAAACTTGAATTCTTATGAAAACTGTGGCGATTTAAATGACTTGGACTACACCAGGACATTAGTGTGCCTTCTTTTGACTTTCAGAGACATTTGGCTTAATGTGAAGCCCTTCCTCAAAACATCTTAAAGATCTCAGTGGGATATAAAACATGTCCAGTGTAGATCAGACAAGTTATTCCCTAAAAGTTTGCACAACGTTTTGAAGGTTTTCCAAGGTTGCACTGGTTGAGTTTTATATTTTAAGCAATATTACTTTAAATCTGAAAATCTGAAAGAAGGTCTTTATTGTTTTATTGGACAATAAACAAACAGCCTTCACACACCTGCATGGTTGCAGACAGTTGAACTGAATACAAGAAATAAGAAGAAGAAAGGGGGGAAATTCTGCACACATTTGTAGGTTGCAAGAAATCCAATATTTATTGAGACTTCTGTCACACAACCTTAGTCAGGATTTTTTTTTTCCTGAAGAAAATAAAACATTGCACAATAAATAATAGATTTCTTTCAAGCTGCAGCAGTGAGCAGGGTTTTCTCTCCTTTGTTGTTGTTGTTGTTGTTGTTGTTGTTTTGGAAATGAAATGTTTAAGATTAAGATGATTTGACTGTCTTTAAGATGTATCGAACAGACAAAGAGACTTGTGCCAAAGTTTGCTGTTTTTACATTATTTATTTAAGTGTGTTGTTTCCTGGTATGCCAACATGTCTCTGTTGGGCTGTTGTCTTGTATTAGCTGCAAATGATATTCTCTGATGTTTTATCAGACAATATATGTCTCCAAATGAATGTATTGATAAAGTTATTTTGCATTGCAGTGCCTTTAGAGGTTAAATACCTTTTGAAAGATACCATTCTGTATCTTTGTGTTTTAAACCTTGAAAGCTAACTCAAAATGAAAAATATTTATGGGCTGTTTTATAGATATACAAAAAGTATTTTGTCTGTCTGTACTCTTTTCGATAATTAAATGTGTAATTCATTCCTATTTTAATATTTAGGGTGTTTTATTCAATAAAGTTTGATGCTGTTTGAATTTTAATCTATGGTTTTTCTGCCTAAAACATGGGAGGGGGATAAACACGCACACACACACACATATAGCTTATAATGTAAATTACAAATTAAAAAATGTGCATATATATTATTTATTTTACATTTTACATCAGGCTGGAGGCCCCGAGGGTCCAACACCACACAGATACACGTTTGATCCATGTATTAATATTTAGGGTGTTTTATTCAATAAAGTTTGATGCTGTTTGAATTTTAATCTATGGTTTTTCTGCCTAAAACATGGGAGGGGGATAAACACGCACACACACACACACATATAGCTTATAATGTAAATTACAAATTAAAAAATGTGCATATATATTATTTATTTTACATTTTACATCAGGCTGGAGGCCCCGAGGGTCCAACACCACACAGATACACGTTTGATCCATGTGTATATCAGCTCATCTACAAAATCAACATATTTATGCACAAACATATGCACAAAATTACATATGCATGGATCCCACCACTAGGCGGCGAAAGCGGGTGAGAATAGTGGCGCATCATCATCATCATCATCCGTCACTGCCGCACTTGCGCGGCTTGTAAAACCAGAGAGGAGAGAAGAGGCGTAAAGTCAGATTGGGTTGATTTTATAAGGAGGTCTGGAAACGGTCCACAGAGGCTTCTCAAAACTCAGAGATCCTCTTTTTATTGCTACTATTCCAGGCTAAATACTGGCTCAGAGTTTGCGCTCAGCCGGTGAACAGTAGGCGACCCAGAGCGCTTCTACCAGCTGGACAAACAACAACAATCCCTTTGCTGTCACATCATGAACCCTGAATAGTAAGTCGTGAGAACTATAAACATTTATGACCGCCTCATCATTTCCTTCAACCTTTCGTTGGCAGGTCAACCAAAATCCCTATGCAGTTGTTGATCAAGTTATATAATAATTAAATAGCAAATAGTATTGTGTTACGGTTGTTACTTAAAGCAGTTGTCGTGGTTGCAGACTGCACAATATAGTTGCTCTGTAAAAAAAAATAACGTATGTATGATAGATATATTTGTATATTATATATTTAACTTTATTTTTTTTATTATTATTAAATATAATATTTAATATTAGTATTATATGAGTTAGAGAATATATTTGATATATAAAATGAAGATCTCAGAACTGTTTTAAAACTATTTGTTTTTGCATATTTCCACAGTGACTACTTATTCAAGCTTCTTCTGATTGGAGATTCTGGAGTTGGAAAATCTTGCATTCTATTGCGTTTTGCAGTAAGTGTTTTTTGTTTTTTTTGCAACAGCATCTTTTGGATATGAATGATCTCTGACCGTGTGTGGTTGAAATATGATTGATTTTTCTTTTCCAGGACGACACCTACACAGAGAGTTTCATCAGCACAATCGGAGTGGATTTCAAGATCCGAACTATTGAGTTGGATGGCAAAACTATTAAACTGCAGATAGTGAGTTTGTAGACTTTAGAATTCAACTTAAGTGTCATTTAATGGGATACTTCAGTTAAATGAGTCATGTCCATGTTTACAGTGGGACACTGCTGGACAGGAGAGATTCCGCACGATTACGTCCAGCTACTATAGAGGAGCTCATGGGATCATTGTTGTGTACGATGTTACGGATCAGGTTTGTGAGACTCCTTTCTAACAAAATTCACATCTGTACTTGAAACATTTATGGCTACTGTTTAAAATGAAGGTTTACCTCTCAAATGTAATCGAAACGGCGCACATTCTTAAAAGTTGAATTCTGATTTCTTTTCAGGAATCCTACAACAACGTGAAACAGTGGCTGAAAGAAATCGATCGCTATGCAAGTGAGAATGTCAACAAACTACTTGTAGGAAATAAGTGTGACCTCACTCCAAAAAAAGTTGTGGACTACACTACAGCTAAGGTTGGTTGGTAGGGAACTAATTAACTTCCTTTTTAAACTAGTTAAAGGAATAATTCACTCAAAAATGCAAATTTGCTGAAAATGAACTCCCCCTCAGGCCATCCAAGATGTAGATGAGTTTGTTTCTACACTGGAACAGATTTGGAGAAGTTTAACATTATATCATATGCTGACCAGTGGATCCTCTGCAGTGAATGGGTGCCGTAAGAATGAGAGTCCAAACAGCCACAAATAATCCACAAGGACTCCAGTCCATCCATTCATTTCTTTTGAAGTGAAACTCCCATCAAGATGTTTTAACTTTTAAATTGTTGCTTCTGGCAAAATACTAGTCCATAATCCATAATAATGCTTCCGTCAGTGAAAATGTTGTCTTGTTGGATAACTTGTGGATTATTGTGATGTTTTTATCAAACTCTCATTTTGACGGCACCCATTCACTGCAGAGGATCCATTGGTGAGGTAAGCTATGTCATTTCTACACCAAACACTTTATAGTTATACATTAACTGAAAACACAAAGATTGGTCTTCTCTCTCCCACACATTTTTTCAGGAGTTCGCTGACTCTCTTGGCATCCCTTTCCTTGAGACGAGTGCCAAAAATGCCACGAACGTGGAGCAGGCCTTCATGACCATGGCAGAGGAGATAAAGAAGCGCATGAGACCAGGGACTTCGGGGGGTTCAGAGAAACCTGATCTTAAAATTGAAAGCACCCCGGTGCAGCAGTCAGGCAGCGGGTGCTGTTAGATCACTGTCGTATGTTCTCAGGGAGAGTGATGAGCAGGACTGGACACTGATGAGCATTGTGTAGAGGTGGCCACTGTGGAAATTAATGACAGACTGTCTCCTACATGGTGCTCAATAAAGTTTGAACTCATTACTGTTGTTTAACAAAGAAACATTCATGGCTCTTCCCATATTTTCGTTGTGTTTGAAAATAAGATTATAGCACAGGCACACACTGATTCAGGTACTTGCCTGAAAAATGAAGGTGAAAATGGTCCAGATCACTGTGTTAATAGCTGTTAACTTTCACAATTGACCCAATCATATGACAATTCCTAAACAATGAACTGGGATTCGCAACTCGCTAAAGCGGTGCCGTTTCTTGTTCATGCTTTCAAGAAGATCAGGTGGTTGAGTGGTCATTGCTGGGATCAGTATGGTAAAGCAAGGACTCTCCAACATTCTCATATGGAGTTTTACTGTGGTTCTGTGAAAATAAACAATGTTGTTTTGTGTGTATTCATTTGCTTCTACTTTCATTTTTGTTATCTCATATAAAGGGAGCTTAGAAGGGTAGTTTATTGCTACTAGAATGGATGCCACATGTTGCTCCAAACCTGCAGAACGCAAAATATTTTGAAGATGTTTTCATCTCAAGTCAATGGGATCATCATCATTGGATCTCATTGTATGAACAGAAACATTTTTGAAAATATCTGCTTTTGTGTTCCACAGAAGAAAGTCAACCATACAGGTTTGTAACGACGTAAGTAAATGATAATAGCTTTTTTTTTTTTTTTGAGTGAACAGTATTTTAGAGGCTTTAATTATTATTGAGAAAGCACGGCTGGGGACTGCTAGCTAGCTTTTATTATTATTTATTGAGTATGGTGTGTTAAGAATGCAATAACCATCCATTTGTTTTTTATTTTGTTGCTCTTTTAAAAAGTTAAATAAAAAATCGTTTAAATTAAAATACTAATGTAATTTTTGTAGTTATTTCAATATAATTGCAAATATATATATATAAATTATATATAAATAAATTGAATATAATTTAAACACAAATGTTATTTACTGCTAATTCCTAAACAATGAACTGGGATTCGCAACTCGCTAAAGCGGTGCCGTTTCTTGTTCATGCTTTCAAGAAGATCAGGTGGTTGAGTGGTCATTGCTGGGATCAGTATGGTAAAGCAAGGACTCTCCAACATTCTCATATGGAGTTTTACTGTGGTTCTGTGAAAATAAACAATGTTGTTTTGTGTGTATTCATTTGCTTCTACTTTCATTTTTGTTATCTCATATAAAGGGAGCTTAGAAGGGTAGTTTATTGCTACTAGAATGGATGTCACATGTTGCTCCAAACCTGCAGAATGCAAAATATTTTGAAGATGTCTTCATCTCAAGTCAATGGGATCATCATCATTGGATCTCATTGTATGAACAGAAACATTTTTGAAAATATCTGCTTTTGTGTTCCACAGAAGAAAGTCGACCATACAGGTTTGTAACGACGTAAGTAAATGCTAATAGCTTTTTTTGTTGTTGAGTGAACAGTGTATTTTAGAGGCTTTAATTATTATTGAGAAAGCACGGCTGGGGACTGCTAGCTGGCTTTTATTATTATTTGTTGAGTATGGTGTGTTAAGAATGCAATAACCATCTATTTGTTTTTCATTTTGTTGCTCTTTTAAAAAGTTAAATAAAAAATCGTTTAAATTATAATACTATTGTAATTTTTGTAGTTATTTAAATATAATTGCAAATATATATATATATATAGAGAGAGAGAGAGATAAATTATATATAAATAAATTGAATATAATTTAAACACAAATGTTATTTTATAATATAAGTCATATATGAATGAATGACGACCAGTAACTGCCTCGTAATTTAGAATAGAATTTAAATATCTTTATCCAAATGTTTTAGGTGTAAAGCATGTTTTGGTTTTCATTTTTATTTGTTTTGAATTTTTTATATTTATTAAAAGCAAATACATCGCTACTATAAAGCATTCAAGTTTATTCATGTGTTGTTGAGGATATATTTACTACATTTCCTAGTGTCAACTGAAAAAAAAACAGTTGGCATTTTGGGCTGTAGTGCGGCCTCTTTTGGCGAGTCCTAGCGCGGCGCTTCTACAGGCATGAAGCTTCTTCCCGGTTGTTGCTGATTTCACTGGTGGGCGCTGTTTGAAGAACATTATCCAGCTGCGCTGCTGCTGCCGTCATACTCTCAGCTTTTTATGTAACTTAATCCCCCCAAATATTGATGCTTTCAGTCTGTTTTGATCGAGAAAGAAGCTTCTGAAACGAAGGACAGTGTCTCGGTATG